GTGAGTGCCCACGAGCCAGCAGCGCTCGCCTGCTGAAGCGAAGCCTTCAGTGAAGAGGGCGAATGGCAGGTTTGCGTGTTTGCTGTGAAAATACGGACCGCGGGGTTTTCTCCTTTTGTACTGTAGAAGGAGTTAAAAAAGCTGCACGGAAGAAGGCTTTAATAATAGTTTTAATAATTTTCTTTTGATCTCAGCTTTCTTCCTTCATTTCTAAGCTCTGGACAGTTAGATCGGTCTGTCCGTCGCTCCAGCCCCTCCATCTGAGCTAAGCAAATGCAAAACAAGGGGGAGAAGACAGCGATCCCCTTTCTAGTTACCAGGAGCTTGATTTTTTGAGCTCCCTTGCAAAAGGGTTGATTTGTAGGTATACAAACAAGGTAGAAAAGATTAAACCCTAATAGTCCTGTTGAAATCAGCTCGGTACTTAGCGAAGGGTTTAGGGCTTGTTGCGATCTTGTGTGTGCTTTTGTCAAGGAGCTGGGACTATCTGGAGAGGTTTCCATCAGCTCTTGGCATGGGATGGAGGAAGGCTGGGGTTCCCAACAAACACGAGGAATAAAGCAACATTTTTGTACTTCCCTGTCAAGCCTAAATCCCCCCGAGCAAGGGATCCCTCGGCCAAGCTTTGAGTTCACGGGGACGTCAGAGAAGCAAGGAGCTTGGATGCAAAAGAACAGAAACCCCCCAGCAAGAGCTGCTGTGTGAATTTTGGAAACCAGACCTTCTTTTCCAGAAATCTTGCCCATATGATGCTTTTTCACATTTAAACCACAAATAATGCGGATTTCCCCCTGCATCCAGCACACAGCTTCCTCGGGCCCCAGACATACTTTGGCTCAAAGAGTCTGTTACCTATTTTTATCGAAGAGCCTGTTTTTCACACAGGAATGCAAGAAAGAAAGGAGCAAGGATGGTGAGTCCCTCATCTGGTTCCAGCTCGCCCTTCGCACTGCCACTGCGCTCAGAGAAAGCTGGATGGAGCTGAAGGACTCAGAAATGAAGCAGGTTTCTTGTGGCACCGGGTGCCATCCCTGCAATTACAGGCATCGTGCTTACGACTCCCGAACAGACCCGTCTCCATTCAGAAATGTTTCTGGTGGTCGGTAAACTTGCTCTTAATTTCCAGCCTAATTTTTAAGCAGTTTGTCCCACTTGTTCGCCTGCCAAAGCGGCCCATTAACCTAAACACCACTCAAGCCTTGCTTGGTTTTAATTTTGCTTCGTTTCTTCCTGAGACCATCAGGTGCCACAGATTTTGCTGAGAGTTCACCCTTTTTTGGCTAAACCGGCCCCGAGCATCGGATTTGCAGGAGAACCTCCTCGTGCATGCAAAGCCAGGCCAGAGTCGCTGTTGGCATTCCTAAAAAGCCAAGTTCTTCCTTTCAAATCAGTTTATTCCAGCTTCTTATAGATTAGCGGGAGCTGATAAACTTGGCATTACGAACCACTCGCAGGTATTATCCCCTCTTCTGTCAGTCCTGGCCAAATCACAAGAGATCTGCAAAGATTTACAGAAATCTGTTTGGTTGCGATTTTTCCCTGCCTCCTGCCAGCTCTTCTTGCCAGTTTGACCACTTGCCCGGTCATCCTCTGAGAAGAGTGAGTCAGCTGGGGAAAAAATTAATAAATAAAATAGCCCAAGCCGGTCCCAGCATGGACTCCTTGCCCCAACCCAAACCCTTGGGTCTCAAGAGCTATAAATCACCCTCCACCATCACCCCTCAGGCTCTTCCCACCCCCATCCTTGCCGAAACACCCTCTCCCAGTTCAGGTTGGCTGGCCAAGTGCACTAAAATAAGATTTAGAGGTTGTAACCATCCTCCAAAGTCCCTCTGCACTTGGGTGTGCTGATGTTCAGAGAGCTCCGGCCATCTCCATCACCCTGGGATGCGTCACTCCTCCCCTGCTCATCCATCGATGGCAGAAGAAACCCAGATGAGCACCTTCGAGCTGATGTGCAACTTTTAATCAGCTCGGACAAGAGGAGAGGGGCACCACGCTCTTGCAAGCAGCAGCTTTTGCCCGGTGGGCTCATTATGGGATGGAGGACACCACGGGAGGTAACGAAGGAGCGATGCGAGAGGATCAGTTTAATTCCTCCCACCTCTCAGCATCCCCAGCCGCCTCCTCCAGCTGTGATGAATCCATAGGGAAGGATCCAGCCTTATTTTGACTATGGTTTCCAGGATGGCGTCTCTGTCCGGGAAAGATTTATGGCAGCGCTTACAGCAGGAGGAGAAGAGTGATTAGATCGGGCCCCGTCTATGTGTCGTGGAGAAAGACCCGCTTTACAAGGAAATAAACTCCAGCAATTAACTGGGGAATTAAGATTTAGCACACGCTACGAGCGGCAGGCATGTATAAAGGAGACAGCTGTTAAATTTAGTATGTGACAAAGTCATGCGAACACTAACTGGATTACTTGCATTTATTTGGGAATACTTATGTATTTTATTATGCAATGTATAGATCACCATAATTCTGCTTTTCACTCCGACGGCGTCTCTCCTCCAAGCATCTTAGAGAGCATTACAAACAATTAAGCCTGCCCGCGCCTCTGCGCAGCGCTCGATGTTCTATCCGCTTTGTGGCTATTCAGTATATTTTAGATTGGAGATGGCTTAATTAATGTGATGGATTTTTAACCCTTTCTGGGCCAAAGCCCATAGTTGCTGCTCTTCCTGGGCTGATCACGGAGTCCACAGGGATGAACTAGTCCAGAAGTTGCTGGAGTGAGTTTTCCAGGGATGGAAATCCATCCATCCCCTAGGGATGGTGATTTAGACCCATTTTGGTGAAAAAAGAGGAAAGGTGATGAATGCTGGAGAGGGGAGCATGGCTTGGGTGGTGGCTCCACGTATGCTCTTCCAGCGTAACCTCCAGCTCTGCAGACACCTTCGTGTGTCCCCAGGACCCTTGGAAGTGGCACAAGCTGCTTTTCAGCATTCTTTCCCTGGCAAGAAGTGACAGATAACTGCCTCCAGTTGCGTCTCCGGGGAAGGAGTTTAGGGAGGCAGCCTGTAATCCTGCCTGCTGAGTTTGGTCCAGACTCTATCAGACATTATTAATCCTTTGTATCAGGGCAGCGGGGACCGGCAGCCTGCTGTATAAATGTGCTGCAGTACGGGAGGGACAGTCCCTTCCCTGAACAGTTTCCAGTCCGAGGAGATGACGGAGGGACAGACGGATGGGGGATCTTTGGGAGGCAACATCCAGACCACTGAGAAGCTCCCGTGGAAGATGCCAGCCATTTTAACAACGTCAGAGAGTCAGCATCTTAATTTTAAGCCTCAGGGGGCACCGTCCGTGGCACTGGGGTGGTTTAATCGGCAGGTCTGATGCCCCAGCCTTTCCCACCGACCGCATTTGTGCCAAACGACGGGAGCAATTTGCGCCTCCTCTCCCAGCAGTTTGCTGCAGCTCCTGCTCAGAGCATCCCTGCTCCTCCTAAAAGAGCTGAACTGGGATACCTGCCAGGGAATGGGGCTGTAACGTGCTTGTCCACTCCTCCAACCCTGCATGAGTGCTGAGCAGAGTGAGCACTGGAGCCAGGGTGGGTAAAAAAAAACATTTAAAACCAATTTTTGGTTGCATCAGTCATGGAGGACCTGCGGGACCTGTAGCAGCACCGCCGCAGCCCCTCCACCACCTTCGATAGCTCTGGGAGAACAGGTCATATCCACTCCCTCGGTTACTCCAAAGCAGCCAATTTATATAAATAAAGCACTTATCAAAGCAAAGACAACTTGCCAGCACTTGAAAACGAGTGACAGGTCAGCTCTGGGGGCAGGGACCAAGCGTCTCACTGGGGTTCAAAGGGGTGACGGCACACAGATGCACGCACACCCGGTTTCGTATCCCCGGCTTGTGCTGCACGATGCAACGCCAGGCACGTTACTAGCCCTATTTTCCATTTATAGGAGCCTGTCAGAAATGGCACTCCTCTCCGAGCAGATGTCGAAAAATTAGAGGGAATTCAGAGAGCGGCAGGAAAAAAAAAAACATGATTAAAGGAGATGGAGGGCCTGATTTTGGAGGGAAAAGAAATCAGCTGAGCTATTTATAACGCTGCCTGCGCCAGGGTGGGTAGGAACAGGCGTTTTTTTTTAAAAAAGTGCCTCGATAGCTCAGCTAAGGGGAATGGGCAAACCAGCCTCCGAAGGATGCTCGTCGGAATGCTGCAGAGGGGCTGTATAAGAGGGTGTAAATCCTGAGTGATGGGATGAAATACCATCAAACACAAGCGGCTGAGGAATCGCCGGTAACGGGTGAGTGCAGGGGACAGCTGCTCATCCAGAGTGAAAAAAAATGCCCATGGCGAGCCCCCGCTCCTACCTCTGCTCTCGGTGACAAGCCGCGCTTGTATTTACATCCAGCGTTTTACGCAAAACGTGTGGTGGTGGGGGTGGAAATCTTCACTTTTTCATCCAAAAGCAAATGTTTTTGGTTATAAAAAACCCACCGGCTTTAAATTCAGGCCTTCAGCCCCAGAGGCTCACGGGAGATGCACGCAGAGGTTGCTGCAGCCGTCTGCCGGGCTGGGGTCCCCCGCCGAGGGACGCGTGATGGAGGGGACCCGCCTGCTTCGGGGTGATGCATCCCCTGGGGACCAGAGCATCCTGTCCCTATTTCCAAATTGCCTGGGTGATTTGCAGACTGAGAAGCAGTTCATGAACATGTTATCAATGATGTAACATCACCCATTGCCCAACAAGCCCCAGCTCCCGGTGGTGGGTCCTCCATTGCAGCCAAAGGGGGTCAGAGCAAAAGGGTTTCGTGGGGGCAATTTGGGGTTCTCTGTGCCTCGCTCTGCAGAGGGAAGCTGCCTAACGCGGTCCTTGTCTCTCTGGTTGCCTTGCAGGACCTCTCACTCCAGGGCCAAGGCGGAGGCGGCTGTGACGGCGGCGCAGAAAGCTCAGGAGGAAGCGCGGATCGCCAGGATCACTGCCAAAGAGTTTTCGCCTTCCTTCCAGCACAGGGAAAACGGTCAGTGCGTGCTGCCGTGCCGGCTGGCCCCACGGACACGGCTTTTGCCCCATGCCGCTCTCCGCCCCTCTCGGCCCTGCGGAGACCCAAAAATCCCCAAAATTGAGCCATACGCAGAGGCCTGGTCTGTGCCCGCAGCTCCCAGTCCTCACCAGGACCCTTGGGGTGGGAAACCACCCCGTAACACCAGCTTTTGGAGGATTTAGCACAGGGTTTTCAATAGTCAACACTTCCACCCTGTGCAGTCCTGTTATTACAGGGATCTCCTCTTTTCACACCAAAACACCCCCATTTTTTTAATTCGTAGTCCTCGGTGGTTGCACGGAAAAAACCCAACAAGAGCTCCGAAAGCAAAATACAAACAGAAATTATTCCAGAGGTGGGCACTGATTTTACCCCCATGGCTTTTAGAGCCTCATTCATGATTTCTTTTGAATGCTTGGGCTTGCAGAGCTGGGGCAGCATGTGTTGGTACCCAGTCTTTCACTTGGGTGTGCAAACCAGTTGCATGTGCATGCAAAGGTGTCAGAGAAACGCGCACTTGAGGTTTGCCTGGTGGCTCTTCCTTCCCTCCATCATCTTCGACATTTCTTCGTGGTTTGTCCAAATTTTTGCTCATTGACAAGAGGCTCAGGCTCAGCAAAGGCTCAGGGAGGAGGAAGCCGAAGCAAAGCCGCGGTTGGGCAGGGGTCTGCAACCGGCGGGCGCGCAGGGAGGATTCGCCCCGCGAAGGCTGTGCCTATCCGGGAGCAAGAGGGGCTGCTGCGAGTGGGAGTGGAAAGCTCCAAGTCCCCACAGCAATAATTAACATAGTAATTAATATATGTGAATGGTTTTATTCAAAAGTTTTCCTGCGCCGAACCCTCATTAGGAGGCGTCTATCATTATTTTCTCCCCCTTCCAGCTCTCTAACTGAAGATTACTCATTCGGTTTAATTGCTCCAGGGGCTGGTGCCAGTGACTCATGTCGCGGTGCCGTTCCCCGAGGCCGGGGAAAAGGGATCGTTGCATCTTTTGGCCCAGCCGGCCCATGCACGAGTCCTCACTTCACCGCGGCGCGGAGGCTGCAGGGGCGGCTGGGGGCATCCCACGGCTTGGCAGCGATGAGCCAGACGGGGTTTGAGGTCTGGCTCCAGCCGTGAACCTCCCTGAGCTGGGTGATGTGCGTAGCGAAGCCCCACCCGAGACACGGCTGCGTGGGGACGGGCATTCGGGGGGCAGAGCCCCTCGCAGCCGAGCCCCGCGCAGCTCTCTGCTCGCTGGAAAAAGGCACAGCCCTGTTCAAACACCCCTCGGCATTTCTCCTCCTGCAGAGGTCCAATTTGTATACCAGAGATCTGAGCTTTTTTGCAGGGCTGCATGGTCCCAGGGGCTTCTTCAGCCCTGAGATATTCCTCATCTCCATTTCCTCTCGCCAAGAGACTTTGCTGTTTTAAATCACCTCTTGAAAAGATATTTTTAGGTAATACATTTTTTACTAGCTTCTAGACGGGGACATGGTGCTTGACTTGTGTTGGGGCTTGTCTTTCTGGTGCTCATATCTGGGCGGGTTGTGAAGGGAGGGGAGGAGGAGTTTCCACTTAGAGCACATTAAAAAACAAACACTCCATCCACGATGGGTCGGGAACCCTGGGAGCGCCTGTGGACCAAGTCAGGCGGATAATAGCTGCGAGTGGCCTCAGCACCCCGCAGACCCCGTAACCTCAGGCTGCAGAGGGCCGGGGGGGCGGCTGGCTGGGAGGACGCTGCAACACGGACGGGGCGAGCTGCCGCCACGCCGCACGGCGCTGCATGGGCTGCACGTGCCCACCGTGCACCATGCTGCAGGCGCTGCATGCCACCCGCCCTTGCTCAGCGCTGTGGGTGCTGGATGTGCCCACTTTGCACAGCATCGTGGGTGCTCTATGTGACCCCCTTGCACAGCACCATGGGTGCTGGGTGTGCCACCCCTTGCACAGTGTTGTGGGTGCTGGATGTGCCCCCCTTGCACAGCATCATGGGTGCTGGATGTGCCCCCCCTTGCACAGCATCATGGGTGCTGGATGTGCCCCCCTTGCACACCATCATGGGTGCTGGATGTGCCCCCCCTTGCACAGCACTGTGGGTGCTGGATGTGCCCCCCTTACACAGCATCATGGGTGCTGGATGTGCCCACTTTGCACAGCGCCGTGGGTGCTGGATGTGCCCCCCTTGCACAGCATCGCGGGTGCTGGATGTGCCCCCCTTGCACAGCATCACGGGTGCTGGATGTGCCCACTTTGCACAGTGTTGTGGGTGCTGTGTGACACCCACCTTCACAGCATCACAGGGGTTTTCATGTGCACCTCAGCGTCAGCCCTGCCGGCATCCTGGCCCAGAGCGTCCCCGCAGCGCAGCCCCTGTTTGAACAGACACAGACTCCAGACCGGCCGGCACTGGTGCCGGCTCCAGCAACCCCAGACACTGTCACAGCGGTGCCACAAGGCCTTTACCCAGAAAAACCAAAAATATCCCTGGGCAGTACCCCCTATCACCCTCTCCCCTGTGGTTTTCCATCTCTGTCTGCCGGGGGGGATCTTCCACGTCCCCATCACGCTCGCTGCGGTTGTGCCTCCCCGGTTCCTGGCTGTGCCGGATGCCCCGGCCGTGGCCGCCAGCGGGGCCAGCCGATGGGCTGGACGGTGCTGGTGAAGCGACTCCCCCAAGGTGATGGCAGCACGTCAGTGTCAGAGGCAGGCGCTCGGCACAGCTCCCAGATCCCATACGTGGGTCCTCAAGGGCACATGCTTGGCTTTGAAGGCACCACGGCCAGGCACGGCTGCCTCAATCCTGCTGGAAATCCAGATTTGGTGTTCTGCATCCTCCTTTGCGCTCTCACAACTGTTCTTCCAGGAACATCACGTGCTCCATGACTAATTTTAGCTCAGAGTAATTGTTGCACATCCTCGGGTGTTGAAAGCCGGCAAGACGGCACCGTGCATCTGTCGAGTTCCTCCGCAAGGAAATGCCTGCATCCCTGCAGGGCGCCGGGGCTGGAGGGGCGGCCGTGCCCCAGCATTGCTGGCCCCTGCTCGTCCACAGGCCCCAGCCTGGGGCTGCAAAACTCAGGGAATTAACCTGTGGAGAGGCGGAATTAGCTCAGATCGTTGCAGGTTCGCGTGGGAAAGATTTAGGACGAGAGGGTGCTTAACAACATGGTCCCTGGGGTGGGTCTCTGGGGTGAGGATGCTGGAGCATCGTTGGGCTTTCTTGCCTCCATCATGGGGCTTGGGGGGCCGGGGAAGATGGGGGCTGGAGCTAAGGCGGAGGAGCAGCGAGTGTAGCGAGGCTGTGGCTGGTTCTGCCATTGCAGATTGGCTTTGGAGTCACCGGAGCTGGTGGGAAGCTTTCAGGTCCCTGCACCTCCAGCCTGAGACAAACAGGGCCTCCCCAAGTCTTGGGTGAGCCCGGTTCGATAACTGACTTGACCGCTTTCTCATATGAAGCCATTTATTTTCTCCCTGCCTCAGTTTCCCACCTGCGACATGGGAAGGCAAGAATGGGAACGTCTCAACAACAGCCACAAAATCAGCCTGTATTTTTCCCCAGAGACAGTTATTCTGCGTGAAAACGGAGGGTCTGAACTCCACCTTCCTCCTTCACCACAATTTCCCACCAGTACGAGGATTGCTCGGGGGCCCCAGATAAAATCCCGGGAGGTTCAGCCTCCCACAGACAAACAGAGACACAGGGAATGAACTAAGACTGAACTATTGGAGTATTGTCCCAGAACACGAACAGAATTTTCTGTGGCAAATAATACCAAAAAAATTGACAGTCATTAGAAGACCAATTTCCCATCGAGAAATTGCTTCTGTCGGAGATTTCCAAGCAGCCTTGTTACTGTTTACCTCCCCTGCAAGTGCTTCGATGGGGACATCCATCCCCGTGCTCCCGGCATCCCCCGCACGTATCCGGACCACGGCGCGGTGGGACGCGGGGATGGCTGCGGGCAAAGGCACGTCCCAGCGGCGGCAGCAGCTCCCCCAGTAGATGCGGTAGAGAAAATTACTCAGCAGAAGTGGAGAGATTAGAGCAGGCGCTTCAGAGCATTTATTTTTAAACCATGGTAAGAAATTGAGTTCTTCCTTTTTGAGACTCATTTCTTGTCTAGCCATAGCAATTGCAATTAGATGCATTTCAGGGGCATTAGGCAGTTAATATATTTATCAAATTATTCACGTAATTTAGCATGGCTTTAGCTGGGAACAACTATGCCTTGAGAGAGTAAAATGAGAATTAATCACTATTAGCTTGCACCTCCTTGAAATAATTTGGTGTTTCCTCAATGATTGATAAGTTGCAGGTTTTTTTTATTGTCCGGAGAAGCGGTGTGTTTCTTGCCAGCTGGTCACCTCCAGCAGAAGACACTCAACCTCTCTTAAAGTCCCCGTCCCCACGTCCCTGTCCCCAGGGAGCCACCGTCTGGGGTGGGCTCTGGGCTCAAAGGGAACGAAGTGCATTCGGCACGATGAAATAAGGATGATGGTTTATATTGTACTGAACACGTTACCTTGCTCCTGCCTAAACATGTGAGGCGCGACCGCCTCGCGTCCAGCACGGGGAAGCCGAGTGGGGAAATGTCCATGCCCTCCTTGTATGGGGCAGGAAAGCTGTTCGATATATGGTTTGTGGGGTTTTTATTTAATGAGAGGCTTGCACATCTGCCCAGATGGGACCGTCTCCCTGTGAAAGCTTCGAGGTGAGATTTCCCTTCCGAAACCATGCAGCTGCAAAGCCAATGTGCTTCTCAGCCGCGGAGGGGTGTGGAGGCTGCCGGCAGCGAGCCAGGCACGGGGTGATCCCAGCAGCGCCCGGCACGCACGGGCACAGGGCATGGGGTGAGCCCTGGGCTGCCACCGGCTGCATCTCAGATTTCCCCTCTTGTGTCTGTGAACTGGGTTTGGAGCTGATGGGAAAAGGCGGTCAGACAGATCCCCCAAAAACAAGGTCAATGGACATGGCCATAGCCCCTTAGCGGGGTTAGAGTGACTGCGCACGCAGCGCAGGAATGGTGCCACGGAGCAACGCAGGCTGCTTTTGAGCAGGGCTGCAGAACTATCGCAAGTCCTTTTACTTGTAATACCTACACACGGTCCTCCACGCATGTCCCCAAGCAAGCAGGGTGCCCACGGGCGGCAGAGGCGGCGAGAACTGCGGGTGCTAAAGGAGCAGCCGCTGTTGAGTCTGTTTGAATCAGCTGGAAATGAGAGGCAGAGCGGTGCCAGGTGGCTTCTAAAAGGGTTGGTAGCCCTTGGGTTTACAGCAGCGGAGAAACACAACCTTACTGCAAAACGCCCCTGTCTTGACAACAGCGGCAGCTGATGCCAAACCGTCTCCCATGCCGGGCTGCAGCCGCTCGCACCGCGCTGCTCTGCGGGTGCTGGGGGTGACCGCAGGTTTGGTGTAAGACCAGCGATGCCTTTTCTCCTGGTCTGGTAGCCGAAGCTGTTTATTGTGCTACGCTGCTGCCGTCCTGCTCGTGCCCCGCGGGTTCCCTGCCGGCCAATGCTCTCAGCCCTGTTCTTTGACATGAAAAACCTGGTGGGCGCCCACAGAATAGAAATAATCCTGTTGCATTTCTCTCTCCCTCTCTCTTTTCTCTTAACGACTACACAAAAAGGGCTCGAATGCCAGAGACCGAAGCGCCAGAACTCGAGCGATGACATTGAGGTCCTCTCCACCGGGACGCCTCTCCAACAAGAGAGCCCCGAGCTGTACCGCAAAGGGACCACCCCGTCCGACCTGACTCCCGATGACAGCCCGCTGCAGAGCTTCCCTGCCAGTCCCTCCTCCACGCCGCCCCTGGGTCCTTCCTGCAGGAACAAGAGCGCTCACTTCTCCAGGCAGGTCTCGGTGGATGAAGAGAGGGGTGGGGAGATCCAGATGTTGCTGGAGGGACGTGGCGGGGATTACTTACGCCCCAACAGCTGGAGCGAAGAGAAGGTCGGCGGGACTCGCGGCGTGAGAAGCGGGACGCTGCGCAGCGGTCAGCTGGGGTCAGCCTCCGTCCCTGAAGACTACAGAGGTCGGAGTGGAGGACACAAACACTCGGCCTCCAACCACAAGCAAAGAGAGAGGTGGACAGATTCCCCAGCCACGGTTTCATGGACTTCCCACCACAGGTCCCACAACCACAGCTCAGGGAGCTCCAAACTGCTTGAGCTGGATGAGGAGAAGATGAGCAATTACGAGATGGAGATGAAGCCCCTCATGAGAATGGATTCTTATATGCAAGAGATTCACACCCAAAAAAGACACTATAGCAAAGGGGGACCCTGCAGGAGCATGGCTGATGACCACCGCGGGGAAGACCGGGGCTTTGGGGTTCAGAGACTGAGGTCTAAGTCCCAGAACAAAGAGAATTTCAGGCCAGCTTCCTCTGCCGAGCCCACGGTGCAGAAACTGGAAAACCTGAGATTCGGGGACAAAGCTGAACCTCGGCTACTAAGGTGGGACTTAACCTTCTCCCCGCCACAGAAATCCTTACCTGTTGCACTAGAATCTGAAGAGGACAATGGGGATGCGCTCAAATCCAGTACGGTAAGTAGGCAAAATTCTGTGTTGAAATCTGGCCGAGAAACCCAGTGCAGAGCTGTTGTGGTGCTGCAGCCGAGCAGAAAGCGAGGTCGGCAGAGCTGACCCCCAAATTACCGTGGGTTTGTGCCTTGAATCCCCCCTCCTCCCTTCTCCCATCCAGCGTGGGCTGGAAGTTGGCTTGGGGTTTTCTCCGCAGACTGTCTTGGTGGCAACAGCAGGTTTTTCGCTGAAGGATGTGAGCAGCAAGTTTGAGTTTGTTTTGCAACCCAGCCCCAGGGCCAGCAATAAAATACATTATTGCTGGGATTTTGAGCATTCACCTGGTGGGAAAGCTGCAGGAATAGGCAAGGTGTCGGTGATGCTTCCTTGTGGTTAGGTTATGGCAACAGAACTTCACGCTGGCCCAAGAGCCATGCTCCATGGTCATGGAGCAGGGGTTGCATTCCAACCATCGCTCGGCTTTTCCTGTACCGATCTGCACGGTCCAGTACAGCTCGTGTTCTTTGGTGTGCGGATGCCGCTGCGCCAGGAGCGGGGTACAAGCCCCTCAGTGGGGGATGCACTGCAAAAGGGTCTTGGCAAACTGCGGTCAAGAGGATGCAATTCAGGAAGGACACCTAGGCAAGGAAAGCAACGGGCAAGTACAGCAAGGGTAGTGGGCTATTAGATCTCTGCAAATCAGGGTGATATAGCAGATTACAGCCAAATGTCAGTTCCGACTATCACTCTACTGTGAAGAGCACAAGTATGCTTCCTAAGCAGGAGCATAGCTTGTGGGGCTTGGAGGATAACCCCTTGTGAGACATCCAGTCCTGGGCTCCTCATTGCGGGAGAGACGAGGAGACGTTGGGCATTAACAACTGGCTGCTGGGAAGAGCTGGAGGTGTTCAGGCTAGAGAAGAGGAGACAAAGCGATCTTCAAGCACATAAAACAGCTGCTGCAAAGCGGAAGGGAATAATCTGTTCTCGATGAATGGAATTAATGGGCTTAAATTCAAGCCTTAGAGGCAGTGGTTAGCCATTAGCCATTCCCAGTGAGTTGAGGGCTGGAATAAATTGCCTAGGGAGGCCGTGGTGGCTGGGAGGGAGGAGGTGGTCTAAGATCTGGTTGGACATCTGCAGCTCAGATATGGCTTGGATAGAGCTGAACTTGCCTTGGGAGAAGGCCAAGCTGTATGATTTTTAGGTCCTTTCCAGCCCTGGTTTTTGATCATTCCTGGACTTACCATTGAGAGCGGCTTCCTCGCTTCTCCCCGCCGTTGGTTTGGCATTGCTGGGAGAGGCGATGGGGAGGTCTGACGGGAGCAGTGGGGAAGCCAACACCGCTCCAAATGCCCCCTTGTCGAGTCAGTGCCACGCACAGGGCAGGGCTGGAGGGGTCCCGCACCGCTGGACGTCCCACAGCCCAGGCCAGGCCTGCACAGGAGAAATGGAAAATCTGTAACTCTCAGGTGGCCACATTTCAGGCTCCGGCAGAAGAAAGGAGCTAAACCACCCTGCCAGGTTAGCAGGGGATGATCCTGGGTCGCTTGGGAGACAGGGAGCATGAAGCTGAAATGACATTTGTCAGTCACGCTGGAAGTTTGAGCTAGAGGCATGGTGGTCTGTAATATATGATTCCTGTTGCCATACCTACAGCATCCCTGCTCCTCCAGCCTGCTGACAGGTCCGCCAGCAAAGCAAAGGTGGTGGCTCCTGCAGCCAAGGGATGAGAGCGAATGGGTGGGAGAGAGGAGGGAGCGGTGGCATCTGCAGCCCGCGAGCAGCCGGGGTGCAGGAAGGACTAAACTACAGATCCGCCACGGTTTCCCCGCTGTGGCTGTGGATAAATCACCCCCACACACAGCCCTGTAGCTTTCTGCCTTCCTATTCATCTTCCAAGCTTCGGCGCAGGCTCGAAAGCACCCACACAGTGTGTTTGCCAGTGGACTGCACCGTAGGACACATCTTGCCAGTCCAGAAAAATAAAAAAAGAGAGCTCCAAGTGAAGCCAGCCCTGAGCACACACCAGGGGGCAAAGCAGCGGACGTCGGGTCCAGACCGGGCTGTCCTTACCTGCTAGCGTAGGTGCCTGTGAAGCACTAGAGAAATGACAGGCAGCATTAGGAGCCTGCCAGGCTTTCAGAGGGGAAAAGCAGCAGCAGTAATTGCACAGATATCAACCCTGTTGGAGTCTGTGGGACTCGCCGGTGGTCCGGCACCTTTGATAACGTGACCTCGTGCGGCGGCAGGGAGCTGGGAGGGACACAGGTCCCGAAGGAGGAATGAAACCATCATCGCTGAGAGCCAGGCGTTCCTCGGGGAAATCGCTGGCACAAGCGGTCCTGGTGTCTCTCCCCACCCAGCTCAAGCCGGACGCGCTGGCCAGGCTCCCACCTCGCAGGCAGACCCCAGCCTGCGCGCCAGAGCCATCACACATAAACCTCCCGCCCGGGGAGGAGGGCTTGAGCTGCAGCACTGGAGGTAAATAGCCGCTAATGCAACATAACATTAATGGCTCTTTCAAGTGAATCCCAGGCAATAACGAAGGGGCACAGCCTGCATGGAAAGGCGCACAGAAAAGCCATTAGGATGCACATCATACTTTTTAAGTGCTGTAGCTGTGAAGCAGCATGTTCAGTTTTCTCACATTCATAACCGAGGGTGGAACAGATGGCGAAGGTTTGGGAGGAAGCTAATGTAATACAGAGGAAGAGATAATATGTGGATTTAAATAACCTACAATGCCAGCAACAATTTGTTCTAGCAAGAACTGCACCGTGCTAGCGAGGTTTTGTTCCCTGTGGCCTGGCAGGGAGGGGGGTCATCGGACAGGAGCCGGGGAAGGAGGTGTAGGAGAGGAGGGGAGGTGCAGTGATTTGTGTTCCTGCCTAACGCCGTGACCTTGCCTGCACCTGCCAAGGATCCCAAAGCATTGCAAACTTCGGCAAGCGTAGTGAGCCCCTGAGGAAGAGGAGGGGAAAGCTAAGGGGGAAGGGTTTGTGCCCCCGTCCCCACATCCACCTCCCTCTGTGCACGCTCAGTGACACAGGGCACTGGCATGCTTGGTCCTGCAGGAAACCACGGCACCCTGCTCACGCTCCAGATCTTTTCACGCAGAATTAAGGCTCCCCAACTTCCCCAAAGCCCCATTTCTCATGCTAGCCTGAAATCCCCCTCCCCTTCCGACTCCCAGCAGCTCGCCTCCAGCGCGCAGGCAAACCGCAGCTCCCGGGAAGGGCCGGCTGTGCACACGCGTGTGCGTGCACGCGTCTGTGCCCACGCCGTTTCAGCTTGCATGACAGCCTGCTTCCCTGTGATCCACAGCACTGCCATCTGTGAAGCTGCTTGCTGAAAAGGGCATTTCTCATCTCCCAGGCAGCTGGGCTCTTTCAGAAAGGTGCCTGCCGATGAACGGGAAGGATGCTCTTAGCTGAGGAGGGCTATTTTTGCCCTACCTGGAGTATCCCTGTGCAGAACTGAGGTCACCCTCACAGGTTAGCTTGTTTTAAAAATAATCTGCCACAAAGCAGCTCTACACACGCCATCAGTGAGCCCGGTGGGTTGGCTCTGCGTTGGAGTGCCAGCTCCAGCTTCAGGAGCCGGCACACCTCTGTCGCTGCTCGCGGGAACGGGGCGGGGATGCAGGTCTTGCAAAGCACGCGGTCTTAAAATTATCACTTCTCTCCCCACACCTCTTGATTTCTGTCTTAGAAATGAGGCTGGAACAGCTGGGGGGGTCCCTTGGTGTCCAGCCTCTTGCAATGTGTGCCCAGGGGGGGATGCAGACCTCCGCAGAGGAGTCAGATGCATAGGTCGCTATAGGAGCTATAGGAACTTTGTTCTGCTCCGTCATTTTTCACCAGTCCGTTAAAAAGAGGCTCTCAGAACCCCCCTTCGTTAGGGCTGCACATCAGTAATTGAAAATTGCTCTTATAAAGGTCATTTCTTGAGGCTACCGCTCAATAACATTGATGAAATTCAGTGCTGCTTGGTGTTTGCTATCAGGGGACTTTGGGGTTTCACAGTCATCAAACCGGCCCTACAGTCATACAAACGCTTTAAAATTACATTTAAAGCCACCTGATCTTTCTGTGTCTCCGTGTGCACTGACCCCTGCATGCACAGAACAGACTCACATCAATGGTCATCATTCGGGCAGATGAAAACGGGCACCAAAGCGCCAGGACCGGTGTCGGTGTTGTCAGATTAAGGGATTTATATGAACGTCACCATCCTTTCTGGCCTTAAAGGCCCATGAGGCGCAAAGCTCAAGCCCGTGCCTGGATGCTTCACAGGTTCCTAGAGCCTTTGAGAAGATCTAAAACAGGAAAGTAAAAAAGGAATTGTTGAGACACTGGAAAGGGAAAGAGGTTTTCTAAAATGCCAACAACCCTTTTATCCATCAGCACAAAACACATCACGTTTTTTAGGGGGGGGGGAAGAATACATCTCCTTTTCTGCAGGTGCTGAACATCTGCAACTTCTAAAAGGGAAAAGAAGTGTTTTAGGCACAGAGGTCCTCAGCATGCTGCGAGAAGGGCCAGTGCTCAGGCACGAGCCTGATTCATCTGCCTGTCCTCATTTAGCAGGAGCAATCACGGGTATTTAGATGAAGACTTCTAGGGACACACTGTGGTCTCACTAAAGGTACCCTGGAGATGTGAGTAGGCTAAAGGCTTGGCCCTTTAAAATCCCCCTGTCTCAGCTCACCAAGAAAGCCCGATGGTAGGGCAGCAGCCAAAAAAAACCCCACCCCAGCCGCCCCTGACATTTTCTTCCGTTGTCACATGCTGCCGGATAAAATCTCTGTGGTCTCATCTGTTTGCTAACGGTACTGCTTCTTACTGCAAACAAACCAGGGGACGCAGTTGCAGCAAATGGAGTTTGCAAGGCATCTGCTGGGTTGGGGATCTCAGAGAGATCCCCTTGTCCCCTCCAGGTACCCGCTGGGGAGGTTGGGAGGGATTCCAGCAGCCGCAGCATCTTCCTCGCTCCCTTTCTGCGCAAGGGGTGTATTTTCC